TGAAACACGACATTATCCATAATTTTGTAAACACATCTCCACCAATCAGAGAATCATGACAAGCAAACCGTGCCACAAAACCACATAGAGCCCACCAACTCCCATGAAGCACTGTGAATGCTGTAACAGAGTCAGTCTCCCTATGCTCTCAAACTACTTCAATATATCTAAGCTTATTTTGCAATAAACCAAAATATATATATTTTTCAAGTTTTCAAGTTTTCAATTTGATTATGTAATTCACAATGTTACATATTCGTTCACTAAAGCCGTTGGGTACACAGTCTTGTATCTTTGTCTTTTTTCAAATTATTATATTTTTTTTTGCTTTAAATCAAAGTTTGTAATGCTGAGATTCACCTGGTTCAGGGGTAGGCAAGTTCGGTCCTAGAGAGCCGCAGTCCTGCAGAGTTCAGCTCCAACTCTGAAAAAAAAAACTCACCTGTCTATAGCCTTAGTAATCCTGAAGACATTGATTAGCTTGTTCAGGTGTGTCTGATTAGGGTTGGAGCTGAACTCTGCAGGACTGCGGCTCTCTAGGACCGAACTTGCCTACCCCTGATTGGTTTAGTTCATGGCTTATAACTCTTTAAAGAAGACTTTTCTTAAAATCCCAATGGAAAAAAAATACTTCTGGAACCAAGGCTGCTGAAAAAGTGCACTCTATTAGGCACATTAAGAAAACAACTTCACCAGTATGTATTTCATTTCAAACACATCTGTGAAATTAAAAGTTATCAAAGAACCATTTCTGTTCTTGTTTTGATCTAAACAAAAGTAATCCAGCTATATCTGTACTAGATCTGTGTCAGGGTAAAAGCACACATCGTTCTTTTCCTCTTTTTCCATTAACATACTGGACAGAAGTCTGTCAGTGTGATCAATCAGCACCTTGATTACAGCCCAAAATGTCTCCTCAGTCTGGTCCACCATTATCCGTGTCATTTCACTGCCCCCGAATCTCATCTCGTTTCATCCAACAGCTGCTGTACACATCTCTGCACCTCTCCACTTCACAGAAACAAAATCACAATACCTGTCTTATCACTAGAGACCTCCCCAGGGGGAAAACACGGCCTCACTGGCTTGATCTTCAGCCAGTGTAAGTTTACATCTGTCAATAGCGTTTTATGGACTTGTCTTTGATTGGATATCGGAGATGAATGAATGGTGAGATGCTGTGAGCCTGCAGAGCGTCGGCGAGCTCACGTTAAGCTGTCAGGTGAATTGTGTTTGGAAGCGAGGGAAGTCTTGCAGGGATTTCCGTGGTAACTGTAGAGGACCGCAGTTGTACTTAGACGGAAATATCCGTGGTTACGGTAACCGTGGAGATGGGTGAAAAGGAGGACTCGGCTTCCTGTGGAAACTCATGGCTGATTAGAACAGGATGCCAGTGAGTGCTACACTTTCTGTGTTAACGTTTCCTCTTAATATGCTAACATTTCCGGCTTGTTGTTAAAAAACGTTTCTGTTTTTAGAGCTTCTTCATAGCCACAATGGATCATAGAAACACTCTCTTCCTTTTTTCCTCCTTCTCCTCCTTTTTCCATTGCTCCTTCACTACCACTTGACCTCAGCTGCGTAACTATAAGGTGGCGTTCACACAGAATGCATTTTTGCATTTCTCTGCATTGTTTTTATCGTTTTTCTACATAAACGTGCTAGACGAACACGTTTGACCGTTGCGCTAAAGTTTTCTCTTCTTCTGCAACATCACATGCAAAAAAGACTGTTCTTAAAACATGGTGCTCAAGTTAAAGGATTAGTTCACTCCAGAATCAAAATTTCCCTCGAAAAGAAATTAATGTTTTTGAGGAAAACATTCCAGGATTTTTCTCTATATAGTGGACTTCAACGGGGACCAATGGGTTGAAGATCCAAATTGTAGTTTCAATGCAGCTTCAAAGAAGCAGAAGTACCGACCCAGGGTTTATAAAGTGAACATGCAAAGATCAAGTCAAATGCCCTTTACAAAAAAAAAAAAAAGGTAAAACAACTATGTCAGACAATTCTGAAGTTGGAGGAGAAAATGAGAAGGTGTTTTTGACCCTACCCTACCTTCCGCCTATAAATTATCAGGAAATTTTAATTCGGCGATGGACTAATCTTTTAATGTGGAAGCCTATTTCAGCCACATTATAAAAAAAAAAAAGCTTTGGTAAATCATAATTACAACATAAGAAGTCATAATTATGATATAGTAAGAGTCTAAATTATAACATCAATGTCAAAATGATGAGCTAAAATTACTTGTTATAATAGTATTTTTTCATAATTTTAACTGTCAATTTTGACAAATTTCATCTCATACTTGCGACTTATGTCCTAATTTTAACTTTTCATCTCATATTCATGACTTTGCAATAATTTTAGCTTATGTCAATGTAGACTTTGTGTCACAATTATGACTTTTTATCTAATAATTTTGACAATTTTATGACTTTTTAATAATTTTCTATGAATTTTAACTGTCAAAATTTCAGCTTTTTATCTCATAATTATGGCAGAATGTCCAAATTTTGATTTTTATCTTTTAATTATGATTTTCCAAAGCATGATTTTTTTTTTATGTTGCAGAAATGGGATTCCATAAGAAGTTTAACTTTTAAAAAGTGTGTCTTTAGACATTTTTTTTTATTATTCCACTGCCCAGCATCCCATTTATAAACACAAAAATGTGTTCTGTGTGAACGGCCCCTAAAATATCAATAGCTCTGTGCGAGACTGGGTGGGCTGCAGTATATGGGTCGGAATGTCTGAGCGCCTGTGGGGTCCCATGTGCTTCCCGTTTCTCCAGCTGACCCCGAGCACCCAAACTACGTCTGAGGTCTTATGTAAATTAGCGTGGCCTTTATCAATAGCGAGCAAGTCTAACCGCTGGGGAGCCGAGGGAGAAGGGAGCAATGTAATCTCTTTCAAACACCAGCCTATGATCTCGTTAAAGACTAATTGATGTTCTGTGTTAACGAGCTTTACCTTAATTACTCACATTTAAGTGAACGGGGGATACTGAGAGGAGAGTTGGATGCAGTTTTGGGCACGCTGGACTCATCAACACAGCTATGCAAACAAAAAATAAGAGAGAGGGAAGTAATCAGATGAAGAAACTGATACAGAAATGCTGAAGAGAGGGATCCAGCAGAAAAAGGTGTTAAAAAAGCAGCAACACTCTATAGAGTCTGAAAGCCCAAGGGAGGGAACGATAGAGAGGATAGAGAGCAAAGGTAAAGGAGAAGATAAAGAATCAATCTGCTGAAACAGAAGAGGAGAAAGAGGAAAAGAGAAATGCAAACGTTGATTCAAGCTGCTCTCATCTCTCTGTCTGAGCCCTCCAACCATGTTCAGTCTCAGATATTCAATTCCTCTTTTCGCTTTCTTCCTCTTCTTCATTTCCTCCTCTCACTCCCTCGTTCTGTTTGCACTGTATTTCTCTTTTCCTCATCCTTCACTGTATTTCTATGTCTATGAGACTTCTCCTCCCCATCCAGTTTCAACTGTATCCACACCTCTGCTGTGTCCTCCTCTTCAGTGCATTATAGTCTCTCACCTTCTTTCATTCTATACTCTTTCATTCTTTCACTCTCCTTCCTTCTTTATAAGTGCACTCCCCCTCCCTCTACAGTAAAGCCTGGAAAGCAGCTGTAAGACAGACCGCTGGAGTGAAGCTATATTGACACTGAAGGCAACACATTAACATTACTGTGCGCATTATAGTACTGCAGTGTGTGAGTGTGTGTGCAGTCCTTGGTGATTTGCGTGCCCAGTATCCACAACATGCCTTGTTCAATAAATTTGCTTTTTTGGAGGTCATAATCTTTCCTCACCTCTCTCTTTTCACCTGCGAGACCACATATGTATCTATCTCAGAGGATGTGAAAATCGTACAGCGCGAAGCTTACGAATAGGTCACATTTCACAACATGCCGTTAGTGCACTAACACATATAATTTAAGAAAAATGTATGATATATGCCCGGACTGATCTAAGGCCTGTCTTGGTGGACATTAAGACCTCACATTCCCTCTGCAGGACTCCAGGCTCCATCATAACAGCTTTAATAAGTTTGGTGCAAGCAGGGAGTAAAACTTATTACGGAATATGAAGCAGAAGCCCCACATAAATGATTTTACTTCATCTAAACGCCAACGGTTTGATTCATATCGCAGGAGGAAAACTGTGGGCCTATGATGGGTTCATATGAAATTAACATAATGAGCCCTGCTCATAAATCTCACTGATTTCTTACCCAACTATTAAAAAAGCAAATGGCCAGACTTTGAGAAATGACAGCAATTGGTGTATCTAGATATTTCAAGTCTCCTTCTCATTTAAATGTTTATAAATACAAAAAAATGACTGGAAAATGAACAAGCTATGCTATTTAAATAAGCTCGCATGGCACTGAAACACCAAGAGCATCAAACACACATGCACTACGAGACACTGATAACTGCTCAGGAAAATTGATAAATCCGCAGTTTACATCCACAACTGGAGACGAGCAGCCTGACAGCGCGGCACAGCGACGCGATCATTAGCCGCACCGAAGCAGCATTTTAAACACGTTTTAGTATTCAGCCGCTTCACAGTTGTTGTTTTTATGAAAATCACTAATTGTGCCCGCAGACTGCGCGTGTCTCCGTGCCGTTTCCAGGCGCGTGCGTGCGAGCGTGCGTCTTCGCGTGTTGTTGTAACCTCTGCGCGTGTATATCTGTGCAGAGAGTGCAAGAAAAGTCGAAGTATGTGCCGTTTCGCTGAGGAACAAGTGGGCTTGTAAGCACTGGCATATGTGCGCGCGTGCAGCAATGACAGAAGGGTCAAACCCCCGCGCGCGCCGGCCGTATCCATCTCTCTATCGCGTGCCATCCATCTTTTCCACATATAGCGCATCAAAGTCCCCTCACCCGGAGCCGGCGGTGCACTGTCAGTGCCATGTCTCCTCGCTCCACGCAGTCAAGCCCGTGCAGAAACACAGCAGCATTCATTAAACTGTTACTTACTGTGTTTTTCACGCGCCTGTCCCCCCTCTCTCCTTTCGGCCCTCCATTCTCTTCACATCATTCCCTCGAGGTATCCTTTTTGCGGCTTCTCCGGGGAAAATACACCTAGAAATATATATATTCTACATGTATTCAATTTTCGCGAGCTCTCTCTCTCTCTCTCCACCTATCTCCCGCTCCCTCCTCCCTCTCTCTCTCTCTCTCTCTCTCGCTCCCTCTCTCTTTCTCCGCTCTTTTGTTAAAATTCAGTATATGCGCCTCGTCACCTAGCAACCGTCAACCGTCAACCTCCCTCTCGCGCGCGCGCGCCGGCCGACTCTCTCTCCCGCGCTCTCTCTCCATCACTAGCGACACGTGTTGAATGCTAA